ACCCAAGACACATGGACCAGTGTGGAGGCCAGAGGCAGGCTTGGGTGAGTAGGTTCTTAGGCCAGGTGAGTGCTGGGGATTGAACTCAAGTGAGCACTGAGTTGTTTTTTTCTGAACTCAGGTGGCCATCGAGTCGTTTTTCTGCCATAGTTTGTGTTTTGAAGCAGAGACTAGCTCTGTTGCACAGGCTGGCTTGAGACTAATGATATTTCTTGCTCAGCTGCAGAGGAATCCTTCTGGGCTTGGCATTCAGTTTGTAGACCTGCTGAGCTAGGTCACTGTGTCAGTGTGGTGTCCACAGGCAGGACTCAGCACACAAAGGACAAGGGTCAGAAGCATAGAGGCTTCGAACTCACAGAGGTCCACCTGCCTCTGCCTCCTGAGTGCTGGGATTAAAGGCGCCTGCCACTAACGCTTGGCAACAAGAAGTAAATTTAAGAACACAATGCCTGCCGGGCAGACGCAGGTGGACCTCTGTGAGTTCGAGACCAGCCTGGTCTACAAGAGCTAGTTCCAGGACAGCCTCCAAAGCCACAGAGAAACCCTGTCTCAAAAAACAAAAAACAACAAACAAACAAACAAACAAAAAAACCCACAATGCCCACACTCCTGAGAGGTAGGGTGGGTGGATTTTGCTTGGTGGGTTATGGATGATTAACATCGTTTGCAGGGGGTTGGTTGCAAGGTGTTGTTGGTCGTGGTCAGGGAAGAAGCTAAACACAAGAGATTAGATTAATGGATCTCTTTCTAAGAAGGTAAAAAGTTGGGGACATAGGAATGATGATAGAACGGAAGCATAGATTACTGAATCTATTTTTAAACTAAAAAGCAGCTATTAATTTCAAATGTTTTACATTGGTATGGATTTTTGTACGTATATACAAATTTAAGGTAATTTTTGTTGTACTGTATATATGTACTCTTGCTTAAGATGTTTTACCAGCCTGGCAGTTGTGGCGCACGCCTTTAATTCCAGCTCAGGAAACAGAGGCAAGTGGATCTCTGTGAGTTCAAGACCAACCTGGTCTACAAAGTGAATTTCAGTGTGGTAGAATATTATTTTAAGGTGTGTGTGTGTGTGTTTGTTTATACTGCTTTTGTTTAACTCTGTGAAGCTGTGGGTTTTGTTTTTTTTTCCTGTCTAAAATACCTGGTGGTCCTAATAAAGAGCTGAACAGCCAATAGTGAGGCAGGAGGAAGGACAGGCAGGGCTGGAAGTCAGAGAGGATAAATAGAAGGAGAAATGAGGAAGAGGAGGAACAAGAGAACAAAGAGAGGAGGACATCAGAGGCCAGCCAGCCACACAGCCAGATGCAGAGTAAGAAGGAAAGAAAGGGTATATAGGAATAGAGAACGATAAAAGCCCTGAGGACAAAAATAGATCGGATAATTTAAGAAAAGCGGCCGGGAGTTGGTGTCACATGCCACATGTCACAATCCCAGCATTCGGGAGGCAGAGGCAGGCAGATCTCTGTTAGTTCAAGACCACCCAGGTCTACAGAGCAAGTTCAAGGACAGCCTCCAAAACAATACAGAGAAATCCTGTCTCGAAAAAACAAACAAACAAACAAACAAACAAAAAATTTAAGAAAAGCTGGCAAGAAACAAGTCAAGCTAAGGCCAGGCATTCATAACTAAAAATAAGCCTCTGTGTGTGGTTTATTTGGGAGCTGCATGGTGGGCCCCTCAAAAGCCAAAAGAGTAAAGAATAAAAAGCAAACCCAGAAGGGCCTAGGCCTGGCCCAGGATGATGTGGTAGACTTTGGGGAGCCCCTTTTGAGGGCCTTTCCCTGCTTGGGGAGTGAGGGGGATGGCTAGGGGCAGGTGGGATGTTGAGGGGGAGGGGAGGGAGAGGGAGAAGGGATTGACGTGTGAAGCAAGCTTGTTCCTAATTTGAACTAATAAAAGAATAAAATAAAAAAAAAGCAAACACTATAGTCCACGACAGCCAGGGCTATTTCACAGAGAAACCCTATCTTGAAAGAAAGAAAGAAAGAAAGAAAGAAAGAAAGAAAGAAAGAAAGAAAGAAAGGGAAGAAAGGGTAATAATCTTCTGTAACAAATTTGTAGTCATGTTAGGTATGTTTTCAAGGTCAGATATATTTTAGATAAATAAATGATCTTCAAACATTTCAGAGACATTTAGAATATGGCATTTAAAATGTCTTTTAATGACATAAGGCTTTTCATAACTGTGAGACACATCTGCTCCTAGAAGTACCAATTTACTTCAAAAAAGGCATTGAAGAGCCTCCATATGGAATTCTTTGTGGCAAAAGTTAGCCACTGGGCAAGAGACTGTCCTTGCCTCAGCTGCTAACAGTATGCTGTCCAAATTGGACAAGCAGGACACAAAGAAAATGATTCCCAAACTTTGCCAAGACAAGGTGGGACAGTCCTTCAAAAATCCTGCTTCACAGAGAATTCTGCCAGATACTCCAGACCTGTAGGCTGAAGATGGTTGCCCCAACGTTACAGGGAACCTTGAGTGCTTGTCCAGGCAGCCAGGTGTTTGTGACATTTGTATAGTTTGGGAAGTTACTATTTACTTCCTATTTACTCAGGTGTTGCTGGAGTTTTTCTTGTCCCACCAGGTCCCACAGCCACTTCCAAATAAACACACATACTCTATATTAATTATTAAAGTGTTGGCCGATGTCTAGGGCTTCTTACTGGCTAGCTCTGTCTTAATTATCCCATTTCTATAAGTCTGTGTATTGCCACGTGGTCTTGGCTTACTAGAGAATGCCCGGACCTGCTACTCCTTTTGCAGCTACATGGCATGCCAGGGCTCAGCCTGTGTCAATCCCATGCCACAGAGACCATCTATTCTGGACTGATGTCTTTGGGGCCGCAATCAGAGCCATCCGAACAGCCCTGGGTCCCTCCCTGAGTGGGGGAGTGTGGATCTGGGAAAGCTCCTGGCTACTCCAAGGCGTTAAGGACTAGGCAGACACATCTTGTCATCTCAGGAGGGCTCTCAGTCGGTGCTGGAGAGGGTTTATTCAAGCATCCTCTTAAATAGCTTTCCAACAGTGGGGGTGATCTTAAAAGACATCTACTATCATGTATAAAGCTGATGTCAAATATTTCCTTTAATCCTAGAGGCACCCTAAACAGTCCCTAGGCAAGGAAACAAGCCCTCTGAACAGATCAAGTGTAGGCCCACCCAGGGCCTAGGTCTGTTGTTATGCAAACTAGGAGACATTCTCCACTGAGACCAAGCCACCTAATAGTAATCAGCCAGCATCTGAAAGACAATGAGAGATTCAAGCTCCTAGAATAGAGCTGAGGTTTGGACCCCAAAATATTATAATCGATAATTTTTGGGGTCCTGACTGGAAGGTTCAGGCATTATGCTGGCCTGCCCCTGTTACCTGGTGAAACAGGCAGTACCCTGGTCAGCCCAAGGTTCCATGGGGACTAAGTCTGCACACAGGTGCAGAGGACCCTTTTAAAAGATAAGTCCCTGCCCCTCTACGCTCTCTGTTTCTCTGTTTCTCTGTCTCTCTGTTTCTCTGTTTCTCTGTTCCCGCTCTCTCTGTCTCCCGCTCTCTCTCTCTATGGCGACCGGCCATGGCGGTCAGCCATTTACCCTGTTCCGCTTCTTAGTCTCCCCATTCTGCCAGGCCTTATAATAAACTTATAGTCTTATGTCTGTCTCAGCAATTTCTCTTTTCTTCTTTTTAAACAAAACAATAATACTGACAATGGCATCTCCTTTTGGCCGCTCTCTCTCCTTACTTTTCCCTGCTTATTTTTCCCAGAATTCTCCTCGTCTCCTAGTCCTGCCTATCTTCCTGCCTCAATATGGCCAAACAGTGTTTTATTCATCAACCAACAAGAGAAACATATATACAGAAGGACATCTCCATCACTCAGTCTTTGATAAGGTTGAATTATAGTTACAGTTTTCCTTGTTACCAAGTTCAGAAAAGAAACTCACAAGGGAGATGTAAATTTATAGAGGTTGGGAGACATAAAAGCTTCAGTTGTTTATCCAAGCCAGGCGTTGGTGGCACATGCCTTTAATCCCAGCACTTGGGAGGCAGATCTCTGTGAGTTTGACCAGCCTGGTCTACCAGAGTGAGTGCCAACACAGAAAAACCCTGTCTCGAAAAACCAGAAAAAAAAAAGTAACAATTATGACCCTGATAATGGTGAACATGATTTCCATAGGGCTGGCTCGCCCTAGACTGTGTCTGTTGATTGGCTAAGCAACAGCTTGGGCAGATAGTTAAGTCATGGATGAAATGTGTCATCAATCTGGTCTTCAGAGCTGTAAGGCATTGTGATGCAAAAGGCAGGCTCCCCAGCAGAAAGCACTATTTTGGAAAATGTTCCACTGCAGGAAATTAGTTCCTAAAGGAGTGAGCCCATTTCTACCTTAGCACCATCTAAGAAGAAATTCTACTTAGCTCATGAGGAAACTGAAACTGAGCTGGGCTGTCCCAGAATCTGGATTCCACATAAAAACCTGTTTACCAGTCAGTGTGAGATAATTCTACCACCAAGAAGCCCACCCCTGACTGCAGTTCCTCGTTCCCTGATGCATCAGCTATGACATTTTTGTGTCACTGTGGCTACAATATCCACCTAGAATTCCTAGTAATGGGCTGGGGCGTGGTCAGGGTGGAGCCCTGCCTAGAATCACCAGTGAGGGGCTAAGGTCCTGGATTCAATCCACATTACCACAAAAATAAATAAATTAAATGGGATTGTTTAAAAAGAAACCGTTAGGCACTGGAAAACAGTTCTGAGTTAGCCTAGAACTCAGGGCCATTGCTGGAATCACAGATGCGGCCACTGGGCTGTAGCCTCTGGCACCTGAGCAGCAAGCAAGGTCCCTTGGTTCATTGCTGGAGACTGCCATTGGTGAGTTGCCACTCAGGCAGCTCTCTGTTCTGGACCAGCGCTGGCATAGCCACCCAGCCAGTGACCCTGTGGAAACCCCTCCTCCTGGCTCCCTGGCTCTCTCCAATTGGTCCCCCACCCCACCCCCAGCTGTCTCTGACCATCTGTTGCTGTCTGTCACAGGCCTCTCTTCTGTATGCTATCCTGTTTGTCAAGCCCAGCTCGGAGGCTCTAGGGTAAGAGGGGCTGTGGGGAACCCTGGATTGTGTTGTGGGTCCTAGAGCTTGGTAAAAGGATCTCTGATATCCATCAGGGTCCCCAATTTCAGTGACCCTCCCACACACAGGGAGGGGCCAAACTTCCTGACTCTCCTGTGTTTTGAGCCCCTCCCCCAACAGGGGCAAACTTCCATGGCTTTATTTTTATTTTGTTTATAAAAGACATTTTATTTTTTTCTAAGTATATATGCTAAGGTACGTGTTAAGGTGTCTGTGTGGTCATCAGAAGTTATCCTGAGGAGTCCAGCCTTTACTTTCAGCTGTGGGTTGTGGGTAAAGGGGTTGAAGGGCCAGGAGTTGGTGGCGCACACCTTTCTTCCCAGCACTTGGGAGGCAGAGGCAGGTGGATCTCTGTGAGTTCAAGGCCAGCCTGGTCTATAGAACTAGTTCCAGGGCAGCCTGGGCTACACAGCAAACCCTGTCTTGAAGCCCCCGCCCCAAAGGGGGGTAATTGAAGAATTGAACTCAGATCATCAGCTTGGCTGCAAGCTCTTTTTTACTTGTTGAGCCATTTCACTGGATTTAAAGTATTTCTATCTAGGAATGGGGACTCTCAGGGCAGCCAGAGGCCATGGAGACACCCCACCCTGATAAGCAAGGTTTGTGTCTGGCATCCAGCTCAGCAGAACCCCTGGTCTTAGTTTCTCCATGTGCCTTGTGGAAACAGGCAAGAGGCCTGTGTTGTGATTGGAAAACCCTCAGGACCCTTGTCCTGCTCCTCAGTTGTCACAGTGAGGGCCAGGCTGGGTGGGCTGCTGAGGCTTCAGCACCCCAAGTCCTGGGTCAAGTAGGGGGTTCAGTGCTAGGAGGCCGATTGAGGGCAGCCTGGGAGCAAAAGCCTGGGGGAGTGGCTGGGCTGCCAGACTGATCTGTCCTGCTGGCCTTAAACACCAGATAAAAATAGTCTATGGTCTCAGAGTTGTTGAGCCAGCCCCAGGGAGAGGGTTCCAGTGTGGGTCTTGGGTTCATTCCTTGTGGCCTTGGGTGGGCTTTGGGCCTCTCCGAGCACTGGCTTTGTTCCGTGCTGCACTGATGGGCTCAGGAGGTCCTCCAGTGGCTGGGCTATGGGTCCCAATGAAGTGCTTGAAGGCATGCATACAAGTCTGCACATGTCTTTAATGCCAGCACCCTGGAGGCAGAGGCAGGTGGATCTCTAAGGTTGAGGCCAACCTGGTGTATAGAGTGAGTGCCAGGGTATCCAGGGCTACACAGAGAAACCCTGTCTTGAAAAAACAAACAAAACAAAAAAGAGCATGGATTTCTCCAGTGAAGACGTCCTGTCTTTCTGCTCATCTTCCAGTTTCCATGACAACAAGAAGCTTGGAGGATCTGGATGGGGGCTTGGGCAGCTGTCTCCCCAGCGATGACCTCCCATTACTGGAGGAGCTACACTCAGGCCGGCGGCCAGGCAGCAAGGCACAAGGTACCTAACATGACTGATTTGAGAGCCTAGTGGCTTGGCTTCATAGTCCACAGCTTAATCTCCCAGGCTAGGCGGGCAAACGGGGCTCCAGCCCCCAACATCTGGCTTTAGGTGTTGGTTACACAGATCTGGACTGGAATCCATTATAAGACATGATGTGAGTCTTTAAACTCCACGTCCCTTGTCATCTGCAATGGAAGCTTCGGTCACCCATTTCCTGGCAGCGTGGGGTGTAGAGGATTGGATGGGTTAGGTCAGGGGTGGTGAATATCCTACTGTTTTTTCAGTGGTGGAAGATTTTTCATCTCTTCCACCAACAGGGGCATCCAGGCAAGCTGACTCTGGTAGCTGGACACATGTGAGTAGCTGTGACCCTGGGAACTGGGGACAGACTGACCAAAGGAATGATTGTCTCTTGCTCTTCTCCTCTTTCCTCCCTCCCTCCCTCTCTCCCTCCCTCCCTCTCTCCCTCCATCCCTTTCCCTTCATTCTCCTCTCTCTCTCTCTTATGAGTTAGGATGTCATTGTAGCCCAGGCTGTCTTCAAACACAAACCTCAGGAATGGCCCTGTACTCTGAGCCCTGTCTCCACCTCTGGAGTGCTGGAATGACAGGTGAGCACCACACCTGGTGTGTGTGGTGCTGGGCAAGATACAACACCAGCTTTCTTTAAAAATTTTTTCCATGGGGGCAGTGGTGGTGGTTGTGCCCAAGTCACAAGGATCCCCAAAGAGACCAGGGAGACAGACCACCAATGCAAATGAACAAGGTTTATTAACTTGTCCATCCTACCTTGTGAGGGACCCTGTCTAGCAAGCTGACACAGCAGCCTCCAGAGGGGGTGAAGTTCCGTGTCTACTGCTAGGTTTTAAAGACAAAAGTTACAGGATTGCATCAGTAGGTACGGGTGGGTTTCTGATTGGTTGACATTTGGGAACAATCAGGAGAATTTCTCAAAGTCATATTGTGGCATGAAATACCTGTGTACCAGGTATTCTCATTGGTCAGTGCTGAGAGGGAACATTCTGTGGTTTCTATCTATGGCTTTGTCTTGTTACTTGCAGGTGGCCTGTTGTACATAGATACCAATAGTTTTCAGAACTGTATCCTGGAGACTATAGGAGAGGTTTCGGTCTCCCCTGGAATTTATTTTGTGACCAAACAGTTCCCAGGAACCAAGTACCTAGGAGGCTAGGCGGTGGGGGTCTGGAGTTTCTTTGTGTTCAGTTTTGGCCCTAGGCTCTGGGGAGGCCAGAGGATCTGGAGTTTCCTGTGTCAGAGGCCTACATGTCTTTTCTGTAGCCTGTCATGGCTGCTAAAGCAGGGGCTGAGTAAGGGTCTGGTCCCTTCATTCCTAGAAATGAAGCCTTTTAGTTTAGTTTACCCCTTTCAGTGGTGCACGCCTTTAATCCCAACACTCCTGATGCAGGAGGATCTCTGTGAGTTCAAAGGCAGCCAGCCTGATCTACAGAGTAAGTTCCAGGATAGCCAGGACTTCACAGAGAAACCCTGTCTCAAAAAACAACAAAAATGTTTTCCTTCATTTATATTTTATTTTGTGTTTATTTTTTTAAAGATTTTATTTGTTTATTATGTATACAACATTCTGCTTCCATGTGTATCTGCACACCAGAAAAGGCCCCCAGATCTCATAACGGATGGTTGTGAGCCACCATGTGGTTGCTGGGAATTGAACTCAGGACCTCTGGAAGAGCAGCTGGTGCTCTTAACCTCTGAGCCATCTCTGCAGCCCTTGTGTTTATATTCTATGTGTTTTGCTTGCATGAATGTGTGCCTGATGCCCTCAGAAGCCAGAAGGGGACAATAGATCCCCTGGAACTGGAGATACAGATAGATAGTCCTGACCTGCCATGTGGGTGCTGGGAATCAAACCTGGGTCCCCTGTAAGAATGGCCCATGCTGTAACCAATGAGCTGTCTCTCTAATTTCTTTCTTTTTTTTTTCTTTGGGTGGGGGGTGGGGGGTGGGGGGTATTAGACAGGGTTTCTCTGTGGCTTTGGAGCCTGTCCTGGAACTAGCTCTTGTAGACCAGGCTGGTCTAGAACTCAAGGAGATCCGCCTGCCTCTGCCTCCCCAGTGCTGGACCGGCGTGTCTTTCTAATTTCTAATGTATTAATATATATACTTGTATATATACATATGTACTTATATATTTGTATATATGTATTTACTATATTTGTATACATACACATATATTTATGTACATGTGTACATATGTATACACACATACATGTATAATTATTTATGTGTGTGTGAACACACGAATAGCAGTTTGATTTCTCCTTCCACCAGGGGGGGTCTCGGGGGTCAAATTCAAGCTGTTAGTTTTGGAAGCAACACCATCACCCACAGAACTGTTTGGCTGGGGGCCCTGAATGAGTTTTAGACACAGTCTCACTATGCAGCCCAGGATGGCATCCAACTGCAGGCCATCCTCCTGCCTCAACCTCCTAGGTGTTGGGATTATAGGATTCATTACAACCTGCTTGTGGGGAGATGGTGCTCCACAGCCCCCTCCCCGGAAGAAACCTGTACTGAAATTCTTGGCGGAATGTCCCTGATGTCCTACAGGTCCTCCAGGACCCAGGGACCCCTGGCTCTGCAGAGAAAAAGATCGCTGCCAAGGAGGGCCCAGGAACCAGCAAAGGGACGCCGAAAGCTGAGACAAGTGGGTTTGCTTTGCTCGGCAGCGTGTGTGTGTGTGTGTGTGTGTGTGAACCTAAACGGAACAAGACTTCACTCTAGGGCAAGGCAAGAGCCACAGGCGACCGAGCGCTCCTCCCACAGGTGCCCGGAGTGTTCCTGCGCGTAGTAGGTGGCAGGCTGCGCCTCCCCTGAACCCGCCGCCGCCGCCACCGCTGTCTCTGAGCGACAACCTGCCCTGGGGAGACCTGACACTCAACAAGTGCCTGGTGGTGGCCTCGCTGGTGGCGCTGCTGGGCTGGGTTCTCCAGCTGTGTCAGAGTGAGCTCTGGGAGGAGGGACTTGGGCCAGCACAGGGGTCAGAACAGTGCGAGTACTCTCCAAAGAGGTGGGGTACATTCCCCCAGCCTTGCACAGGTTGTGACTCAACTGTTCCTACAAACCTTGTGTTTAAGTCCTCTCTCCCCCATCCTGGGAATAGACTGGCCACCAGCCTGTGAGCCCCATGGTCACACTTAGGCTCCCAAGCCTGCCTTTGGGGTGTTTTGGGCTTAATTATCATTCATTCATTAATTTTGATCCAGTCTCACTAAGGGTCTCTGGCTGGCCTCAAACTCACAGAGGTCTGACTGCCTCTGTCTCCTGAGTGCTGGGGTTAAAGGTGTGTGCTACAATGTCCAGACTTTTTTTTTTTTTTTTTTTTTTTTTTTTGAGACATAGTCTCATGTAGCCCAGGCTGGCCTCAAGCTCTCTCTGTAACCCAAACTGACCTCCTGATCCCTCTGCTTTGGCCTTCCAAGAGCTGGGATGACAGGAGTTTGTTTGGTTTTTAGTCAAGGGCTCACTTTATACTACAGACTAGCCTGGGGCTCATGGCAATCCTGCCTCCGCATCCTTCCATCCAGGATGACAAGCATCTAAGACCGAGCCTGGCTCTCCCACCCCCTCGTTAGAGAAGGGACCTACACACCCCACCCCAGTGCTGAGGACCCTGGTCCCCCCATTGTCGCTAGCCACCACCATGCAGCTTAGGGGGAGGACAATGGCCACTCAGCAGGGAGAGAGACAGAATACACACAGCTAGGAAGAGGTTGGAGTATCCCAGCGGCAGGAGCCGGCTGCACCATCCTGGGAGGGTGGAGCAGGTGGCTGCAGCTCCATCCATCCCAGGAGAGTAGTTCTGGGGCTGAGTGGGAGGATTGAGGAGGGTGCGCTGTGTCCTCCAGCCCAGACTGACTGACTTTCAGATGCAGTGGCTGGGGAGGTGGTGGTTGCTGCCCCTCAGCAGTGGGTCCCGCCCAGTGTTCCACCCAAGAAGCCAGAAGTGTCCCTGGTAAGTCTTCCTTCACCTGATGGGGCTGCTCACCCAAGGAGGAGGTGGGGCCCGTGGGGAGATGGGCGCGAACCCCAAGATCCCACATTGTCTCTCCGTAGCTTAAGCCCCTGCTCTCGGTGCCCCCATCGGGGCCTCCTGAGCCCAAGTCTGGGCCACCCGGAGCCCAGGCGCTGCAGCAGGACAAGTCCGAGGCTACAGAGGGATCCGAGCAGGAAGCCTCTGGGGAGAAGCGCGCCCCCCTTGGGGACCGAGGGTCCCAGGAGAGGCTGCAGAAGGAGAAACCAAGGAAAGGAGAGAAGCTGAAGAAGGAGAAGCCGAGGAGGGACAAGCCCATGACGGACGAGAGGCCGCGGGCCACCAGGGAGCCCCGCCAATCCCTGCCCCGGCGCTGGACGCGGGACTCCAGGGAACTCAAGCATGAGAAGCGGCAGACCTGGGCTCTCCGGCGACGCCATGACGGTGACGACCGGTCTAGACAGAAGCCCCACGGGGGCAAGGGGCGCGACTGATCCCGCCTCCCTCCAGCACCAGCCAATAAAACCCGTGCTTCGACAGCCACGTTGTGTTCTCCGTTGTGTCTGTACCCCAAGGGTGGAAGAGATGGGGATGGGATCGGTGCAATGGCCCAGTGGGCAAAGGCGCTTGCCGCCAAGCCTGACTGCTTGAGTTCGATTCCCGGACCCACATTGTGGGAGGCGAGAAGGAACTTGTGTTAGTTGTCCTCTGACCTCCATGTATGTGATGCCAGGCCTGGCTTGAAGTTCTGATCATCTTGTCTCCATCTCCAAAGTGCTAGGATGACAGGTGTGCACTACCACACTTGGCATTTTTAAAGGTGTGTGTGTGTGTGTGTGTGTATTGGGATGTGCAAGTGGCCTTTACTACTGCTGAGCTATTTCTCTAGCCCCCCCGCCCTTGAGGCAGAGTCTCTTTATTTAGCTTTGGAGGTCTGCCAGTTCTACAGAGCGAGTTCATGACAGCATGGGCTACACAGAGAAACCCTGTCTCAAAAAAGGAATCGTGATGGGGACAGAGAGCTTCCTCACTGGGGTGTGTGTGTGTGTGTGTGTGTGTGTGTGTGTGAGAGAGAGAGAGAGAGAGAGAGAGAGAGAGAGAGAGAGAGAGAG